GCAACCAAATGTGAGGTAAATATGCGTCTTGTGGCGAGGACATCATGCCCCGGTCTAAACAGGATTTTAAGGAAGAGGAATAATTTATGCAAATTACGAATAACAGAAGCACCGAAGTGCCTGGAGGCACTTTAATTTCTGTACAAGTCTGTTCCGTCCATATGGTGCTGAAACACCATCGGCTGAACTCTGGGTGAACTCGAGGTCAATGGGCTCATCTATAGGAGGCGGTGGAGACCAAAAACGGAGCTAAAAATGTTGGACTGACGTTCTTCAGGTGGGATGACGACGTTGCCAGATGTGGACATGAGCAGCTGTTTGTGACCTGTAACAAAACATGACAATATGGTCGTTGTGCTGCCTCCTAGTGGCCAAAAATCAATGGATGCACCTTTAAGTAAAAGTATCTCAACAGAACATCCACAATTGGGAGGAAAAATCAGGCTGTTGTATTAACACCTTTTCAGAACCCTTTTTTAAGGAGTTTGCCTGTTTTCAGTCAGCTAAAGGTAAAAGGTCAGCACTCAGGATGTCCTGATCAAGTTGTTTTTTGCCTCTAATCCAATCCTAGTAATTTATAATCTATGAACACCCAGTACCATTTTCCCAGATAGTACACACTTAATGTAGATTAGCAGTAGCAACACCACTGCTGAACACTGCGGCGACCAGACGCACACGTTTATGCTGATAAGCAGCAAGCATTGCTGCATGGGTTCTTGCTGATATTGATTAGTTAATTGCCTTGATTGGGCCTGATACCGGTCTACAGATACTCGGGACATCCCTCGTCAGCACCTCCAAGTCCGAGGCCACATTTCTGGTTTATTTATTGGTGATGGATTTTCAGCATGCTGGGCTTTTAAAGGATGCACAGAAAATCACCATTTTAGGGGTACCTTTGGATAATTTTCCTGATGAAACAGTTTATCACATGATTAGCATGAAGAGCCCCAGAAAAGGTGAAAAAACAAAGTTTCTTTCTGTTTTTACAGTTTCTGGTTCTGATAAATGGCGTCATTTTGGTGTTTATTTTAGAGATTGAATGCCTTTCAAATCTGCCGGTGGATTTTGGGTGAATTAAGGCCTGTAAGGATCCGTGGACGTCCTGTATACCAAAAAAATTTGTTATTATGAGTTAACAGAAGCTGAAACGCCTCATTAAAGTTGTAAAATCTGGTGATACTTTTCCGTCACTTTGTCACGATGAGCGACACGTTTCACTTTAAAGGTAGTTTGATCTATAGTTAATATATTGATTCAGGAGAACATTAAAGTTGTTCAGACCTGCAGCAGACCTTTTATTTACCTTCATCTCCCAGCTGAAGCACCAGGATGTCCCGAAAGCTTCAGTCCTGATTGTTAATTCAGGAGCGTCTCCTTCAGTCTCCACAGGCAGCGTTTCGATACCACTCGGGCCTTCAAACAGGCAAACCCCACCACCACCACCGCCGCCGCCATCCCTCTAATCCGCCCCAAGACACAAGAGAGCGGGAATAAATATCAGCTGAGGCCACCGGGTGATGAGATCCGTCTATCCCGCCGAGGCGAGGCAGCGTTATTGCTTCCGCAGGTGTAACTGAGGCGGCGTGGCGGGCTTTCTCCTCCTGGAGCGACTGTCAAAACACCTTTAACACCGTCCTTCAACAGCAGCCTGGCAGCAGCTCAAAAAAAGAAAAAAAGAACCAGACTGGCTCTGTGAAAGCTTAATGAATCTTTCATGAAGCCGCTGTAGGAATTATTGCCTGAGAAGGTACTGAGATCAGCCGTAAAGTCCTGGGACATATGATGATGGGAGACGACTAGAAAGGAGTGTAGATATTTCATAAGTTTCACAGATGGGTCACAGGCACATGTCTTAAGAACTCTTTTAACAACTGCTGCATGACTCGTGGCGACTCCCGCAGTCATACAACTTTTATATCTACGGAGGTGCACAACTGTCTGGTGGGGAAAGGCAGACTTAACAATTACATGCTTCCAGGCTGCCTCAGAGTGAGCGTGTGATGTATAATTAACTTCATCAAATGGGTTTGTTTGCCTCGCACTACTCCGCAAACAAAGCCCACTTACTCACACGAGTCGTGGAAGGCAAAGACTGTAATTGTTGTTATCTAAAAAGCGGCTCGAGTCAAATGCGACTTTCTATACATCAGAGTCTGGATGCAGACGCTGCGAAAAGCAATTAGAGCTGAAATGCATGCAAAACAATTCTCACTGACTAATGCGTTAAGCCCCTATGTGTGACTTTTATGTGATTAAAGCGGCTTACAAACTTATTCTAATGACACAAGTTCAGGGTTTGTAGAAAATGGAGATAATTCCGGCGAAAAACTGGAAATACAGCAGAGTAGGTGAAAAAGTTTGCCACGACGGATACGTGGTCAGTCCGGCTTGGTCCAAAGAGATCTGAGGATAATTAGACCCAAACAAAACAGAAACACAACACCGACAGCAACAACAAAAACCTCAGATACACCTGAACACCAGTCAGGAAGGAATGTACGAGTTCAAGTTGGTCTGATGGTGGACGAACCAGGAGATCGATCCAAACCTGCAAAGCAGATGTGCATCCATGTATTCTACACATGGTGGCGTAGTGGCTGTGCACACTGAAACTACTTTATAGTGAACCATTTACGAACACTTTGTCTCATGCCTGTTTTCATTTCGACAAGTTGCACACATAGAAAAGATATATTCTGTAGAAAATACATCTCGACACTAGAAAATCCTCAACCGGCTCTCGTCCGTCTGTCATTGTCCTTTGATGCAAAGCAAGATGGCGACTGATTTTGGACACAAACACCACATTCAGAAATGGTCTGGCTTCAACAACTAACGCCAACGTTTGCTACGCTAATGTCATTACTGTTCCGTCTGGCAGAATATATTGGTGGTCACCAAATGCGTCATAACAGGTTTTTCACATTGCTCGAAGTTGGTATCAAGAATATTGAAATCTCAACGGTATCAATGAATACAGACTACCTGATGTCTGGTCTGGTGACATCTTTAGAGGGAAAAAGATCAGAGTTCGGCTGAAGAGGTGCATCGAACTGTAAAGTTGATCAACTTTCAGCTTTGTGAAACTACAAAGACAAGCCCCCATTTATGTCACAACTGAGGAGACTGACTGGAATATGCAAAAAAAACAAAAACGTGTTTCAATAAATCAACACCTGAAATAAATATCAAGGGAATAAGTGCGTCTAAAATCTCTTGTTCTGCTACTGAAACAAAAGCTAACCTAAAAGCTGTTTAACAGTAAATGAAATTCGGCAACACACCAATGCTGTCATCAGTCGCAAATATTAAAGATATTTTGAAAAATCTGGATAATAGCAACTGAATCAAAAGATTTAACAAGGGATGTTAAAGATTAAACGTTAATTTAACCTTCTATACACATATTAACCAGAGAAAACTAATTAATGTCAGAAAAGGTATTGTACCTCACCTGTAGTACCTGGTTGTACCACCAGGTGGCGCCTCCTATTGTTAAAAGAGGTAAAACTCTGCAGTTTGTTTTTAATACTTCAGTCATTCCATCTGAAATCATCACATTTTTAGAACAGTTTCTGCTTCTGGTTTGCCTTAAATTTTGTAGCATTTGTAGTATTTTCCAAGATAAAAACCAAAACTGCACGTCAACACGTTTTTACGCACATTAAAATTTAGGCGAAGTTTGAACGACAATATCTCAGAAACTATTAAGGACAAAAGGCTGAAGTTTTTTCTGTTATTTCTCATCATGTCACTGATCCAGAATCTGGAATACTGGACAAGTAGATGAAATAATCTCCGATTGTGTCGGAGTTGAAATATCGAGAAAAAAAGTCCCATCTTTGAGCTCACGTCAACTAAAAAACTGGCAGCACAGAAGTTAACCAGTGACATTTTCTGAACCAAATATTGTTGCATGTCTCGATAATACAAAAAGGTAGAGAACATTATCGAATATAAAAACAAGGAGACGGTTGCTACGACGATGGGGCGTATGGGAGTTTAGCTAGCAACAGTCGCCGTGACAAAGACTTATGCGATGGTTAAAGACTTCCAGCCGGAGCTCATCTATTTGAGATGAACCAAACCAATAACATCCGGGGTTAAAAATAGTTCCATCAGCATATTGAATAAACTCCACCGTACGTCATTTGTTTAAACAGCTGATTATAGATTGATTACGCTGCCTTCTATCAGTTTAACAAATCGTTGCCTCCCTAATTCACTGTTTTTTAATCATCACACTTTCTGTGTTAACATCTGCGTCCGTCCTGCAGTGTGAATCAGACTCTAAACCTCATTTACACCTGCAAACAGCAGACGTTTTATCTGGACAAGAAGCATGTTTATCACACCGAATCATCCAGGTGTAAATTAACATGCGATCTACCTAAACAACAGCATCCGATTCCGTGGGCCTTCCCAGTTGCACTTGGGGATATTAAACCCGACAGACCAAACAAGACACCTGCCCGTTTTATCGCTTCTGTTTCCCCGAGTTCCTCAATGCAAAGGCCTGTGAATCGGACGTCATTATCCAGACAGATTACGTGTTAACATCAGGTGTGAATGGGGTCTTAACAAGTTTCTTTAACACACCCACCTCAGAAACACATTTATCTGGCGATGTTGTTTTTGTTTTTTTGTAAGCATTGAACTTTTACCAGCTTATGGATTGGTCCGCTCCAGACAGCTTCACAGCACATACGCAGTTTTGATTTCCTGCAGAAATGCGCAGAAAAACGCATCCCGTAAGCAGCAGCCGGTGTGTAAACATCCTCCACTAAACCACGGGGTTGTATTATTTTCAGATCAGGTTAGCTGCGACACAAAGCCGCTGCCAGTTATTTATTCCAGCTCAGGAGGAAGAATCACATTTACCATCTTCAACTTGAAGTTTCCATCAACAGCTGCCGGCTGAGGGAGTTCGTCTTCTTTTAACAAGCTTTAAACTGAGAGATAAACAACCTAAAAATGACTGACAGCAGACTGGGTGATGTTTTGGTTTCAAAAATGACTCTTTAATAAAAAGATCCTTTGCATGAGATGTAAATGAACTGAACAAAGTTGTGTTTTTTTCCCCCCCTCCTAGGTTGGATTTAATAACTTTTATGGAAAATAACTCTTAAAGTCCGCTGAGTTTTGGCTGTGAAGTGAGTCAGACAGGCGCTACTGTCTCTCTCCGGGATGAAACGTGGCGGCATCACATCCTCTCCACGGGGTTGATTCCCAGGATGTCGAAGCCTTTGGCCATGACGGTGGCTGTAGCTTCACAGAGCAGCATCCTCCACATGTTCACCTTAATCACCTCGCCTGAAGACGCACAGGGAGAGAAAGCGTTAGATTTTATGTCTGACGGGTTATTTTGTTAACTTATGTTTCTAGACGGACTCCTCATTCTTCCTTTACAGCAAGAAAAGATTAGAAAAGTATAAAACCGTCAGTGAAGCAAACACTGTTGGGCTAAAATGTTGTGCTTTCTGAATTTAACATAAGAGATAATATATAAAATAGACTCCAACGTGTGGAACATTTGTGAATATAAACCCCAGGAGACGTTTGCTGGGACTACAGGGCGTTCCATGTTCTTCTGTTATCTGTCAGGACAAAGGTTATTTGGTTCAACCCTCTGAATCCCCACTCGTTACTGGGTTTTTTCATTGCACATAATCATCACTGTTCATATTGATTTACTCATGTTAACGTTAACAGTTATCATGAATCAAAGCATCCACTATGTTAGCTTACATTAGCATGTTAGCATGAATCTCAGAGTGAGTTTGAGCCAAATTAAAACACATTTTCTTTTCTTTTTTTTTTTTTACACTTTTCTCTCAGAAATGTACATAAATCCATTAATGATGGTTCATAATTTTAGTGTCTTCAGTTTTGTTTTACAGCGTAGCAAATAGCAAAATTTAAGACAGACTCATAAAACACAACATTTAAAAAACAAATTTTGAGGCTGAAGGAGTTTCTGTGTTTCCCCTGAATAAAGCTCCTCAAGTTTTCAAACTGAACAAAGTTAATAAATAGCAAATAAAATTGGAAAAAAATTGAGCACAAAATACTTAAAACTAAACTGGGAGTTGGTGAAAAAACAAAATCCACCTTCAGCTGCAGATTCACAGATAAATGAGCCCAAACCAATATGTGCATTTTATTATATTTCTACTGTGAGCAGTTTCTTGGACGTTCTCAAAGTTCGAGACGTGAACTCTCAGCAGTTGGTTTGATGCATTTTCACACTTTCCAACGCAGAAAACCGACATTAAATATTATCAACCTGCAGCCGAAGATGCTGCCACAGCGCTAACTGAGCATTAGCATAATTAAACAGCCCTAAGCTGCTCTCCAGCACCGCGGGGATGAAATGCTTGCAGGAACAACAGCAGACTGTCGGTGAAACCCCTCTCAGAGTGAGACTTCGTGTTAATTGGAGACTCCCATCGAGAAACACGACACTGAGGAGTTTCTGCTCTTTTGTTTTCTTGCTGAACTTTTCACCTCGATGTCAGCAAACCGCCCCGGAGCTGCTCTGCAACGTCCAGACTGTCGCCCAGTTTCTCTCTCTGTCCACAGGTGGTTTTGTTTTGTTCTGGTAATTCCTCGTCTCCTGTCCAGTAATACCTACAGCACAAACTGCCTCCTGTTTTAAATCCTTGTTTTCTTTCCTTCTCCTGAGGAGAAGAGAAGAAAACCCTGCAGCATTTGAGGACATCTTGACGTAAGATGCTCACCTGTCTGCCGGTCCTTCTCCACGCAGTAGCAGCTGTCGTAGAACTCGGTGAAGGTGGTGGCGAGCTCGTACAGGTAGTCGCACAGCGTGTGGAGCAGCAGGTCGTCCAGGATCTTCTGCAGGATCTCCGGGAACCGAAGGATGCACTTCCCCAGCTTCCACTCCTTCTCGTGGTCCAGCAGCACCTCGGTGGTCTCCGCCGCCTTCCTCAGCGTCGACTCATCGATGTTCGCCAGACGAGCGATGGACCTGCAGGACGTTAACGGCAAGACGTTACAACTTTAAGATCAAACTGAAAGTGGAGAGAAGTAATCAGGTTAGAGAAAAAACAAGAGTCTGAGTACAGGAAGACATAAATCACAGCACGGAGCAAAGCAGGAACTTTCCAACATTTACAGGACAGAAGATATAAACAACAAACACTGTGATGCAGCTGAACAGTTACATATCTACAGAATGCAGAGCTGTACGTCTCTAACTGTGTCACAACAAATTAGTTAACGGATGTACTGCAGACAGTGTTCACATAGAGTGGAACGGAAACAAACCGCAGAGTCTGAGAGTAAATCGGATCAATAAAACGAAAACGTTGAACAGAGGAGTGAGTTGTTGGAGGATGCATCCAGCACGGTGAAACATCTGCACAGAGCTGATGTGGAAAGCAGAGTGGAAAAGTCTGCTGAGGTTGTAAGAATGTAAATAGTTCTATAGCTCTACTACTTTCTCCTCTATTTTCCAATTGTTTTGGACATTAAAACTGTGTCATATCATATTGAAGAGTAAAACAAACTGGATCAATAAAAAAATGCAGCTGGACTCCACAACGGTGAACAGAGCAGCCAGTTGTTGGAAAACACATCCAGCACAGTGAAACAATCCAAGAAGATCCTTTATTTAAAAAATAAAATAAAAATTCTGTGGTTCACGTTAAAACTGAGAAGCCATGACGGATTCGGCTTCGACCAACAGTCATGTGACAAAAGTTTTCAGGTGAAGTGCAGGCGGTGTTTCCACAGAACAGAGAGGAAACATCAGGAAAACAAACCATCAATTGGAGAAGCTTCTTTCCTCTCTTAACAACAATGATTTATGGCGTTCTAGCAGAGTTCTCGCTCTTCTTTATACTGCAGTGAAAAATGTGACCGGAGTTTATATTTTTCTACACAAGTAACCAAAGAAATAAACCTCAGATTCATTCAGATCCCTACGTCAGCGCCCTGCTCAGGTGTTCTTTGTTTTTTTAGATCGCTTCTGTCTTTTTCTGGCCTCCTCCGACTCCTGAACATCCACAGCAGGGGGCAGCTGTCACCACCGAGAGCTCTATTGACTCGACGCAGGAACATCGAATCCTCTCAGGCGAGACTGGAAAGTTTAAAAAAAAAAACACAGGAGATCAATCTGTGCCGGGCAGTCTGCCACCCCGAGTCCAACACCTCCAGGGAAGCTGGAGAGGAAGGGGATCAGCGGCGCTCTGTGCAGCCAGGAGATGCTCACTCGATACGGGGGATAAGGGGTGAGGAGAAATTGGGTCTCGCTGAGTGAAAACACCCCAAAGACTAATCCCCTGCCACCAGCCCCCACCAGGGCCGGCGAGGCTGATCTGATACGGGTAATGAAAGCATACTGGTGGGAGGTTCTCTGACAGCAGCGTAAAGGAACTCTATTTAACTTTTAAGATTCCTCCGGTGTCCTAAAACTCGACGGCAGGCCGAGATTTGAAACTGAGCAGGCGGTTCATATTAGTGATTGATGGACGTGTTTCTGCCTGCAGAGTCCATCGAACGCTGAAGTGGTGTTTATTTCAGGTGTTCCTCCACATGGGAGAAGCTTCCTCGTTGTTTCAGGTGTAGTTTAGACTTTTATTGGTCCCAGGCAGCCGGAGCACCGCTGAGGGAAGACCTCCACCGATCCATCAGCTCATCTTCAGCTCCGTCCAGCAGAACCTGGAGTCCCCCAACGCTAATGGACCAAAATAATTCTCATCGCTCGGGGCTTCTGCGACGGCACAATCTAAGAAAATCAATGTGTTGGATTGATGGAAAAAGCTCTCCTCTCTGCTGTGGCACAAAACGATTTATGTTCTCTGACTGTCAGGCTCAGCAACATGCTAACGTTAGCATTTAAAAATCCAACCGGCTAACGCTCACACTGACAACATGCACCAATCAAGTTACAGCTTGCATGTGTAATTCAGTTCAAAATACTGAAAAATAAGCATCTCTCAGGCACACAAGAGCCTAAAAATTCAAATTATTGTTGTCTAAAGATGGAAAGAAAAGTTGAAGACAGTGGACAGATGAAAAAAAAGTCAAATGAAGTGCAAACGTCAAATGGTGGAAAATGTCGTTTACCAAAGCTCAAGGGGACAAATGTCATGTTTTGTCCAACGATATTAAAGGTTTACCGTCAGAGGAGGAAAGAAATCAGAAAATATACAACTTCTGAGTGTTAACGTGTCAACGAGCAATGGTTCTCACTGTCAAGCAATCTGTTGATCACAAGTTTGGTCGAAAAATAATTCAAAAATTTGTCTTGTTTTGGTCCAAAGATATTCAGTTTACTGTCTTATGAGACGAAATAAACCAGAAAAATATGAATATTTAAGACGCTGCATCAGAGAATTGATCTTTTTCATGCGTCCAACCCAGTTCAACAATATCAGCGTCTCCATGGAAAGATCATCTCGTTTTTAAAAGAACGAAAATATGTTTTACCCTCTAAAATATGATTGTAGGGGTTCAATCGACAACCAGAGAGGAACTTTACATGAATCTTTGCGTCTTAAAGGGTTAAATTATCCAATGTTTTACAAAAAAAAGAAAAGATTTGCATATCAGAACTTTGGTTTTTCTCATTTCCTCGATTATTAATCATCTTTTGACGCCTCAAATTTATCTTGTGACCCGTTGGAGGAGCCGGTTTGGTAACGGCCGTATATAAAATAGTTAAAACTGTGTAGAGCTGATGACACTGAAGCAGCAACAGCTAGTTACAGGGACACTTTTCACCTTATTTTTTATAATTAAACTGTATTTTACTGGTATTTCTTTAACTCTGGTGAACAGAGATGAGTTTTTAGGAGATCAATCAACACACAGAGGAAGTTGTTTTTACCATCAACTGCCTCCTAAAGACAAGCATCAGTTTCTAAGTGACATGGAAGCTTTTGCAATGTGTCCCAGCATTTAATACATTTTCTTCTTCCCTGAAACTAATACACAACATTTCCCAGCTTTATTTCAAACACTGGAGGGTTAGTTTTGGTGAATAAATGCAGGACTGTCTGCTAAACCAAGTTCAGCTCCGTAAAACCGACGTGTTTGGTGGCTCGTTTGGAAACTTTCTCCCATATGAGGACAATATTTCACCAAATATGTGTTTCTAAAAACATCAGAAATGAGAAACGAGTCATGCAGCAGCTAAATCCGTCTTCGTTTTAGATCAATAAGAGTGAGTTCGAGAGTGTTTCCAGAGGCGGCGAGTCGTACTGGATGGCCCTGAATTTGCATAAAGTAGCCTAAAACTTACATTTTTGCAAATGAGGAGTGGAATACGTGACGCCTCGTCTCTAGAAACACAACACAGTCAATCAATAGGAATCGTGGAGATGTTGTGCAAGGCTCATTCCATGTCAACTCAGCAAAGGTGGCTGCTCGACCACTTCTGAATCTCTTGAAACTTTGTAGGGATGATCTTTGGCATCTGAAACTGACATTTGCTAAATTTTTTTACCTGAAATTTCAACATTTCATAATTTTTTAATAGAAATTTTCAATAAATCATTTGCAAGTTGGAAATGAAGCAAGATGCCACATTCAGACGTCCACATCTCTTGAAGTATACGTCCTGGAGTCTTCACATGTTCAGGAGATGTTCAGAAGTTTCTGGTGAACGGAGAGAGCGCAGCATATTCTGGCAATCAAGACGCAATGTTTTGCTTAAAACCCCCCAAATTCTGGATTTGTTGAAAAATTGCAAATAAAGTAGTTGTTCAAAAAATATATATGTCTACTATTATTATGAAATGGAAAGTGGTGGCTCGGGTTGGCGTCTTAACTGTTCAGGAGCATGAAGACATAAAAATGATTTTTTTTCTCTAATGGTAGGATGTTGAACAAATCAATATTATTGAATAAGTCTGGAATTTGAGAGGTCTTAGCAAATAAATGATTCTTGATCACCAGAATTTGACGCCTTCTGTCCGTTCGCCAGAAACTTCTGAACATCTCCTGAAAATGTGAAGACTCTAGGATGCATACGTCAAGAGATGTGGACGCCTGAATGTGGCATCTCGTTCAATTTCCAACTTGTGAATGATTTATTGAAAATTTCCATTGGGTGAAAAATTATGAAAATGTTGGAATTTCAGCTTAAAGAAAAGAAGGGAGACGTCAGTTTCAGATGCCAAAGATCATTCCTACAAAGTTCCAAGAGATTCTGAGGCGGTCAAGCAACTGACCTCCGCTAATCTCGTTTTGTTGACACAGAATGACCCAGAAACTCACCACAACACAAATTCAGTTGGGCATCACTTTCTCAATGCTGCAACTTCTGATGCATTCATGGCTACAAACCAACAACACAGCAGCTGGAGCCACAACTGGCTGATAAAACATACACTTCTAGCAGGGCTAAAAGCTACAACCAACCATCATCAGGCTGCAAGTTTGATTGTTCTGTTAAGTACGGCGACATCAGTTGAGGAGATAACTTGGTTTCATTCTCTTTGAACTGTATTTGGTAGAAAAGCTGCAGAAGTTCGGCTCCGACCAGAAGGTTTCAGGTACAATCGGAAACATCGCAGCGAGGCCTCACCTGATGCGGGTGAAGGCGTAGAGGAGGTACGCCGCCGTGTTTCCTCGGTCGTCCAGCATCTTGTCGAACGAGAAGACGTAGTCGTTGATGCGGTTGTGCGACAGATCGGCGTATTTGATGCAGCCGAAAGCGACGGACCTCTGGGCTTTCACAAGCTCCTCCGGAGTCAGAACCTGCAGACAGGAGATTTCAAACAGTTTCAGTTTCTAAAGCCGGCAATCTTCTCGCCCGACACTCTCCAAGGCATTAAAGACGTTGATAATTGTAGTTTTTATCAGCTTGTAATTACTGTAGGCAGAACTTCACTTCTAACCGTTAAACCGGTGAGTTGAATTTAATCCAAATGATGAATCTAATTTACCGACCTCAGGCTGAGATTAAACTTGAGTCTACATGTGACGCGTTCGACGCCACGGGGAGGATTATGACCAAGATTTTGCGATAGCGGTTTGATTGGAAAACAAAAACCTGCAGTCAGGCAGAATTCAACAGACTGAAGAAGTGACATGACAGGACAAGAATGGCGGAAACAAAGCACGACAAAGCAAAGGACGACAGCAAGTAAGGGACATGTCCCGACACTATCTAGTATAATAAAGATAAAACATCAAAGGACACGACACAAGAACCCATTAGAAGACATTTAGCTCACTCTTATGGTCAACAAACCCAAAGAAAAACATCTAAAGTCATGTCTTCTGTCATAAATAACTGAGAATGCTATAAATCACTGAAAAAGAAGAAAGAAAGTTGATTTTTTGGGATTACTTCATCATGCTGAATGCATCGTGTAGGTTTTACTTTCCCCTCAGTCTCTCTAATTTGCTGTCAAACAGCAATACTGGGCTATCTTGGCAATGTTGGGTATCTATCAGAGTAAATATCCTCATCATGATCCCACTGGCATCCAAGACTGCTTGTGCTTTATTCGAGGGAAACTCGACAGTGTCAGACTTTGAAAAACTCTGGTGCACATTAGTCCAAAAGGTTGTCTTATGTTTCGGTGGATTTAGGTTTTATTGAACCAGCTAACGCAAAGAAAGTCTGACTAGTGTTGAAGTTTTAATCTTTGGAGCCTCATCTGGAAGCCCTGATGTCACCACATGACTGATCTGCTGAAATGAAAATGAAAACAAAACATCAGATTTATGTCATACATCACTGTTACCTGGAGGCACAGTTTTAAGTGTTTGCGTGCCCGTATATACTGAAAATGTCAACAATTTCCATTTTCTGATGATCAGATAATTTGTCCAATCACTGCAGCGCTATTTAAAGGTCCAGTGATGAGTCACAACAAGGCAGACAGATCATAACAGCACAGGGAGGAACAGGATACGACAGGAAATACCAGAACATAACAGGAAATAAAAGAATTGGACACAACAATAAAAAAAAAAAAAAAAAAGGACACAAGAACAGAGCGAAGTGTGATACAACACAACTGGAGAAAACAAAATAAAGCAGCAGCAGTGTTTGCGGTGCAGCCTGAGGTTCACGGAGGCCAGGGCCGGGGTTTGTTTTAATGAGGCTGGGTTAGCAGATGGTAGACGTGGGCACCGACCCAGACCGAGAGCAGAGCGCCGGGCCAGAAGGGCCTGCAGGGAAACTGCTGGCACCGGTTCCCCACAACCTTCTCAGCATTAAAATCATTGCAGTTCAACTGGAAGTCATAGACTGTTTACACTGCACCCAGTGTTCCAGATAATACTTAACCGGGTCAGGCTCTCTTGTTTTTCTCGCTCATTTTTTATTCCCCTGTAAGTCTAATATCAAACACAAACACCTCGACATCACAAGGCGCAAACACAGTCAGTCAAATTGAGGGAAAAGTCAGAGCCTCGCTGTGTGAAGTAAAGAGAAAACATCAGCTAACGATAGCCTTGGGATGGAAGGAAAGCCTGTAAACAGAGGTTTTCTAAGCTGAAATTGGAAAAAACAACACTTCCTATCTCTAAACATACACCTCTTTAACGAGGTCCAGTCGAGCCGCACGAGAGCTGAAGAAGTCGTGTGTCAAAGCTCGCCCGAATAAAGACTTGGTGAAGGATGAATTCAATGAGACAAATGTCAGGAAAAACAAACTTGAGACTCGATGGAATCTCATCCAGCAAACCTTCAATTCTTAGAAATGTTCAACTTTATAGAGCCGTCGGTCGGGTTCCTGCGTCCAAACGGAAACGACTCGACAAACACTGGACGGATTGTCACGAAGTTTTACAAAGACTTTGATCATCCTGTTGAGGTTAAAACTTTGAGTGATCCCTAAACTGTTCCTCCTCCTTGATTCGTCCAATACTTTCATTTACAACCAAGTAGCTGCAAAACTAAAGACTGATGGAGCCAAGTGTGATAGACGCCTGCAGTCAATTCCTAACATGATGCCTTCAAATGTCTTGTCTTGACTCCTAGATAATCCAAATTCCAAATACGATCAATTTACTGTCACATACGGGGAAAGAGACGCATCAAATCCTCACATTTTAGAAGCTAAAAACATCAGATTTTGACATTTTTCCCCTATCGAGGCCAAAAACAATCTTGATTGGGAAATCCCAACTTTTAGGTGTTCTAAGACATTTTGTTCTTACACAATATTTCCTCAGTTAGAAAAATGTAATTTCCAAAATACAAATTTAGGAGTTTGTTTTACGACACTTTTGCATGTGTAGGTTTCAGTTATAAAAATACCTCTAAAGGTCACTTCTCAAATTGTACGAGCATAAGTGCGCTCCCTGGACGTCACTAAGTATCACAGAAGTCTTTGTCATGGTGTCCCTTTGTTAGCTAAACTCCAACAATGCCTGCCAACGTTGACCTGCCCCTTCTCCCTGATTTGCTAAACAAAACAGTAAGACGTACTGCACACAATCGACAATAATTGAAGTGTGCATTATCTATAAAAATGGTTTCGCATTGGGACTCTCCATCCACAGATACTAAATGCCAAATTAACAGGATTCAGAATCAGAATCAGAATCAGAATCAGATTGGAGCAGGGACGAAAAAATTGATCCCTAAATGTCTGTTTCCATTCAGCCAGACTGACAAAAAAAGTTTAAAATGATTCATGTAAAAGTTAGGATTTCGGAACGCTGCAGTTAATTTGTGTTTGTTTTTTTTATATCATAAACTGGACATAAAAGATGAATGTATTGTCTATGACGTCAACCAGTGGTTTGAGAACCAACTCCTGTTTTCAGAAGCTTTGGTCATTGCCGTCTGTAATCTTCTGAAAATGGGCCTAAGTGCTAAATCAGCAGTAGCGACCTGTAAATCACAAGATAGCCCCGTCCCCAAAACATACCCAGCTTTAGCGCCTATTTTCCCCTAAATGGGACCATGATTTACCAAATGAACACCGTGTTGGATTCAAAAAGTCTTGAAACTGGCGATCAAAAACCATAAACTCATGAGGAAAATGTTTACTTTGGTAACAGATCATAAGAGAATTCGGCTCATTTTCTCATAGACTTCAATACAATCAGACTCAACTGGAGGAGTCGCCCCCTGCTGGCTGATGGAAAGAATGCAGGGATAAGGAACCGGAGGTTACGTCTATCAATTATAAACAATCTCTGCCTGATATATGCTGGAGGTGGAGAGCTCAAATTAATCATAACCCAGGTTTTCAGGTTTAAAGAAACCAGAATAATCCTTTCATTAAATGTTTTAATTGATCACTAATGGCGAACCAGCAGATGATAAATCTGGAAAAAACCCCCCAAGCTACAAATAGTTCTGCTCTTGTTTTTTAGGTAACAAAACAAAAAAACAACAGACAGAAACAGTGGCGTCGGTCGGAGCTCACAGGGGACAGAAATGATGAGCTGCTCGTCTCTTACTAAATGGCTGCTAACACATTTGATGCTAAATATTGATATAAAATCATTTTTATTACAAGCTAAACCAACGTGCCAAAAACAATTCTGCTACCGAGGAGGGTTCCTGCCTTAACGTTTCAGCAATTATTCTGAAAGAAATGACGCACAGATGATTAAATATGAATCAGCACTAAGTTGAGCAGAAATAAATCACATCCTTTAACAGCCATGTAGAGCATTAAAGCAACTTAGAATAATTATAGAATAACAAAAAAAAACTCCTGAGAGGCAGCAGCCGACTTTGTTTTCCACAGTTCTTTGTTGTTTTATCCTCCAACTTTTTATTCTTCTTGAAAAACAACTAAAATTGAAGCTTATTTTTCCCAATTTAAATCTTTTCAGTGTCAAGGTGCAGTTCAGAGTCTCACGCCGCTAAATCTGTGACTGTGCTGAAGGCAGAACTTCTGTTCTGCCTTTTTTCTTATATTTTATTTAGTATTTGTAAAATCAGACAGATGATTTTACTCCTTCTTAACCCTCTGAGTCACCCTAACCAGCAGGCGTGTTCAAAACGCCTGTAATCTTTAAGAAAACTGAGAAAATTACACCGTTTATCGGAGCCAGAAACGGAAAAAGCTGAAAAAAAAGTTGAATTTTCAAGTTATTGTTCCCTGTTATTGTTTGGACTGTGTGGGAGGAAGCCGGAGAACCCGGAGAGAACCCACTCTGCACGGGGAGAACATGCAGACTCCACACAGAAAGATTCCGGTGCCCCCACCGGCGACCCTCTTGCTGCAAGGTAACAGTACTAACCAACTGCGCCACCCTGCAGCCCTAACTAACAGCCAAATGACAAAAATTCTGAGACTATTTTGTTTGAACTGCAGACAGTGTTTACAGACACCAGACATTAAATCATGCGGCATGGCTTGAAAACAGTGTACAGCCGGGGGAAAGGTGTCAGCAAGTTGTTAGAGGACACATTCAGCACCGTGAAACATCTGTCAAGGTTGTTAAACTGCAAATAGTCAAATATCTAGAGCATGTAGCGCTGTATGGCATTCTAAGTGTTTTTTTGAGACTAGACTCAAGAAAACAAAACATACAGGATGAATAAAACAAATGCAGGATGAATAAAACAAATGCAGCACCGCTCAAGAACAGTGACCAGAGGAGCAAGTAGCTGGAAGATACATGCAGCACGGTGAAACAAGTAAAGAAAACCAGCCTTTAATCTGTCTTTTTATTATGATTTATGACATTCTAACTGTGTCATAATGTCCAGAAGACATCTGTGAGTTTTTCTGTGCTGTTTCCACAGAGGTGCAGGACTTTATATTGCAGTGAAACCTCAGAGTTCAGAGGGTCCTCGTGTTTAAAACAACGTATGTTTTCTCACCTTGTCTCGCTCCTTCTCCTTCAGCTTGTCCATGGACCTCTTCAGTCCTTCCTCCAGCAGGTCCATGAGCCTCACCGTGTCTCCGGACCGAGTCTTAAACTTCTTCCTGAGCAGGAAAGACCAGAACCGGGTGAATAAACCGCAAAAAAGAAGCCAATAAGCTGAAGAAACGAATCAGCTGAGACACAGGCGGCGTGGCCTGACGGGCATCAGACGTCTCAACATCCCCGAACAGAACTTTTCAACACGTGCTGATGTTTCTGTCGGCAGTAATTATCGCGACAACAAACCATTAGATTGCTCGCCGACGCCTCGGGGCAATACATTTTGCACAATCAAGCAAATCAGCTGAGCATTACAACCAGAGCATGAGCCAAAAATTTAATAGTCGCCCCCCTTCTCTCTTCCCTGTTTACTTGAAACTATAACAGCTCCCCCCGTGGCTGCGTTAAGCTCTTATTGTCTGGATGAGCGATTATGAAAACAGCATGATAAATTTCTAATGGAGTCTGGTGCAGCTCCGACATTGTGGGGCCAATTTACGCCCCCTCAGGTTACTGTGGGGCGTTTAGCAGCACTTAGTCATGGCCTCCACCAAGCGTAGCGTCAACCCGAACTCGGCTCTTCTCCTCCGGACGGATGACTGAGTAAAAAAAACAACAACAGATAGTTGTTGAAATTACAGAGCGTGCTCACCTATCAGAGCACAGTAATGGCTGCTTACTATAACGGGAACAAATAACACGGGAGGAGACACAAACTGTAGCGTGAACGCATCAACTGAGACGTGAAACCGGGATTACGAAACACTTAAGATGTCCCAGCTGAGAAGTTCTACATCTTAGTAGGGATTTAAAACATTCACAGCAGGTTGTGTGATTCACACACAGGTGGAGAAAAAGGAGGAGATGTGGAGGCAGCAGACAAAGGAGAAGAAGAAGCAGACATCGAAAAAGAAGAAGACGGAAGGAGATGAAGCAAACGTAGACAAAGACGAAGAAGGAGATGAGAAAGAAGAAGTAGACACAAATGGAAGAAGCAAATGTAGAAGGACATGGATGAAGAAGGAGCCCAAAGAAGAAGTAGGCAATGAAAAAGAAGAAGGAGACGTAGAAGGACATGGAAGAAGGAGAAGGTGTTGAGAAAGAAAAGAAGCAGACAGAAGGAAACAGGAAAAGCAGACACTGAAAAAGAAGAAGACAGAAGGAGATGAAGTAGACGTAGAAAACGAAGATGTAGAAGAAGGAATAGACACAAATGTAGAATAAGTATATGTAGAAGACAAAGGAGAAGATGTAGAAGAAAGAGACAAAAAGAAGAAAATGTAGGACGTAGAAGGAGATGTAGAGGAAGAAGAGATGCAGACGAAGGAGGAGATGTAGAAGGAGACAGAAGACGAGACGTAGATAAAAGAAGACATAAAAGGAGAGAAATAAGGAGATAAAGATGTAGAAAAAGGAGATGTAGAAGAAGAAGATGACACAGAGAATGAAGAGACAGAAGAAGAAGGAGATGTAGAAAGGAAGGAGACCACAAAGGAGATGTAGAAGAAGGAGCTGTAGAGGTAGGAGACAGAGGAAGGAGAGATATAGAAGAAGGCGACAGAAGAAGATGATGAAAAAGGAGAAGAAAGAAGGAGACAGAAACAAGAGGAAGACAGAAGAATAAGACAGAAGAAGGACATGGAGGAGGCGATGAAGAAGATGGAGACAGAAGAAGAGACCCAGATACAGGAGGCGACATAGAAGAAGAAGAAGAAGAAGAAGAAGAAGAAGAGAGGAGGAGGAGGAGATGTTTCTGGACAGTAGCTAATCCGTCATCTGATGCTGCTTTCAGGTGCACTCAGACACTAATGTTGCATTCACGGAAACCTGGACTTCAGGCTGGCAGCAAGTGAAGGTCACCTATCAGACATGGACGCTGGTGTTGATGATAAAAAAGATGGAGAAGGAACCAGAGGAGGAACTGACCTCTCAGAAACATAATCTCAGACCAACGCTGCCGTTGTCCAACCTTCAATGTTCGCAGGTTGAAGACAGATTTCCTAAAAACAGCCTAAATTACACTGTTAGAAAAAAACTGTAAAAATAGAGAGAATTGTTGAATTCTTCTCCACTAAAGAACGTCAAGATGCTTTGAGCAAATGCCAGAGTGAATATGTGTTAACACAAGACTAAAAAAAGAGAAAAGTCCTTTGTTGAAACTGATGTTTTGAAGGAGAACATTCAAAAACTTGTCCTTTAGCTTGAAGCAGTGAATGACTTCAGGTGGCTGAACACGCTAGCCATCTCGTTCTTCAAGTAATTTTTTGTAAAAAGAGCACTGATTGGATGCTTTCAAGTTCAGAAGTATGTTAAACATTTTGTCGTAACCACACAAGTCACAGGAAGATGCCAAATTGTCGCATGTGCTTGCAAAAATAAAAATTAAACCAATAACCACAGAAAAAAAATGCAAAAACGGGTAAAAAAAATAAAAGAATGATCAACTCTACATTAATCTGTAAATGAAAACAGGCGAAAATGAGCTAAAAATCGTGATATTTGAGATACTTCTTTACAAAAAAAATCGCTTTATTTTATAAGTTTCATGTAAAAATATTCCAAAACAATAAACCGCTGGCTTTACCCACATCCTGTAAAGATCTCAGCGTTCCTCCAGCTCATCGTGTGCGACGTCTGTTTCCACTGGGACCAGACCGAACAGACCGAAGCTTCAAATTGTGATATTTCACGAAAATCGCTTGATCTCTTTTGAAACGTAGCATAATTACACCGCTGGTATTAAACAAATACTTAAAAAATAAAAGATGCTCTGTGCCATTGAGAAGCTTTTGGATTGAACGGCAGGCAGTGTTTCCACAGAGCAGAGATGGAGCGGATCGGTAAAGATCAAACCAGCCGCTGACGTGGACTTGTCCTTCCAGATTCTTGAAATCTCGAGTGGCGAACCGGGTTTGATGAGGCCCAGCGGTGCCGAGAACAACCGGCGGAGACGTGAGCGATGACGAATCGTGCTGCGGTTGTTTCAAAGCTCCGACTTGTTAATTGGTCTCTTCCCAGTTTTTGGCTTCTTTTCAACTGGAGGCTGAATTGTTGTTTGCAGAAGCTCCGAACACGAAGGATTTACCGGTCAGGTGTAAAAAAAACAAAAGAGAAACACAGCAGCTGTTGTGGAAACGTCTTCTGTTCAACCAAGTGTTCACCAAAACAAACTTCAGAGAGGAATGCTGCTGCGGAGTCGGGCTTCGTGGCCAGATTTATTGCACCGGACGCAACGGAAAACTGTAAAGCCGATTGGAAACCAGTTGTGTTTGTCGCCTGCGACTGAAATAACGAGCAGATTAACTGCTGTTTGAATCAGCAAGAGAAGGAAAACAGAAAACATGGAGGGGTTTCAACCAATGTTCTTGTCAGGACGACAGATCAGAAGAGCCAGAGTACATTAAACAGAGCGTTTCTTTGTTTTAATAACTGATTCTGCAAAGATCCTCGAAGTAGATTTAAAATAACATACAAGTCTGTTTAAGTACATGTTTAGTGAAGCAAAGTTGGGTCGTCTATCTTATTAATTGTATTTTCATTGGTTATTTTTGCAGAACACAATCAAAGCTAATCGCTCCAGAGTAAGCGAGCAGCTGATTTATATCTATCCATACATAAAAACAATTAACAGAATCAGATCTGATCTGACGGTGCGCTGCAGAGGATGGATTACGTTTGTTTGTGTAATTCCTC